TTAATTGTGCCCTTTTTCCATTTTCCGTCCCCTCAATTTTTCAACTCCCCGATTTTTATTTTGCATTTTCCTGATTTTTTATTTTTCATTTTCTCGATTTTATATCACAATTTATTGTTTTTTCATTTCCTTAATTTTTGTTGTTTCTTTCGATTTTCCAGTTTTTCGATTATTCAATTTTTCAAATTTTCAGGCCAATCGATTCCAATTATTCGATTTTCCAATTTTTAAATTTTGAAATTTTTCAGTTTGCAGTTTTTGGGTTTCCACCCCTTTTTTACTTATTGGATTTTCAATTTTTGTTTAAACTTTAGATTTCTCAAATTTTCGACAGTTTTATGTTTCGATTTCATAATTTTTTTTCAATTTTTCGATGTTTTAATTTTCTTTTTAAAAATTTTTCAGTTTTTTTTATTTCTCGATTTATCGAATTCAGATGTTTGGATGTTTTGATTGCTCAGTTTCTCAATTTATCAATTTCTCAATTTTTTTCTATTTCTCGATGTTCAAATTTTTCGATTTTCCAATTTTTCAATTTTTCGATTTTTCAAGTTTTCGATGTTTCAGTTTTAGGATTTTTCAATTTTGGAATTTTTCGATATTTCGATTTTTTAATGTTTTGATTTCTCGATTTTTCAATTTTTCGATTATTCAACTTTTCGACATTTTGATTTTTCCTTTTTTTTTAACTTTAGGTATCTATTTCTTGATCTTTCAATTTTTCGACTTCAGTCGCTTTTAGATTTAGAAGGTTTCAAATTTTCGGTTTTTAAATTTTTCAATTTTCAGTTTTCCGATTTTCCAATTTATCCAGATTTCGAGTTATGGATTTTTTAATTTTTCGATTTATCTGGTTTTTTAAGTGAAATATTTCCATTTCAAATTTTTCGTTTTCAATTTCTCAATATTTTGATGTTTTGATTTCTAAATGTTTCAATTTTTCAATTTCTAATTCTCGGTTTCTCGGTTTTTCGACTTTTCGATTCTATGGTTTTTCAATTTTTCGACGTTTAAGTTTTGGGATTTTTCGATTTTTTTAATTGCAGGTTTTTCGATTTCTCGATTTCTAGTTTTTCGATTTTTAGTTTATCGATTTTTTAAATTTTATATTAACGATTTTTCCATCTTTAGATTTTTTGATATTTTGATTCAATTTTTCGATTCTTCAATTTATCGAGATTTAAATTTTTTTTTTTTCGATTTCTCGACTGTTCAGTATTTTGGTATTTCAGTTTTCAATTCTTCGACTATTTGCTTTTAGATTTTTCGATTTCTCAATTTTTCGATATTTTAGATTGAGGATTTTTCAATTTGTCCATTCTTCAAATTTTCGATTTTTCCAATTTTTGATTTCTCGATTTTTTATTTTGCGATTCCTGGATTTTTCGATATTTCAGTTTTACGACTTTAGTTTTTCGATTCTTCAATTATTCGATTTTTCAATATTTCAATTTTCGGCTTTTCGAAATTTTTGATTTTTCCTTTTCTCAATTTCTTTCTTGAGCGATTCTTTGATTTTTTGATTCCTGGATTTTTCAACTTTTCGATTTCTCAATTTTTTGATGGTTCAATTTTGGGATTTTTCGATTTTTCGATCTTTTAATTTTTTAATTTTTGATTTTTTTGATTTGTCGATTTTTCAATTTTTGATATTTCTATTTTTTGATCTTCGATTTTTCGACTCCTTGCTTTTAGATTTTTCGGTTTTTAAATTTTTCAATTTTCAGTTTTTCTATTTTCCAATTTATCGAGATTTCGATGTATTTTTTAATTTTTCAATTTATCGGGTTTTTTAAGTTAAATGTTTCAATTTCAAATTTTTCGATTTTTCAATATTTCAATTTTCGGTCTTTCGAAATTTTTGATTTTTCCTTTTCTCAATTTCTTTCTTGAGCGATTCTTTGATTTTTTGATTCCTGGAATTTTCAATTTTTCGATTTCTCAAGTTTTTGATGCTTCTATTTTGGGATTTTTCGATTTTTCGATTTTTTAATTTTTCCATTTTTTGATTTTTTTGATTTATCGATTTTTCAATTTTTGATATTTCTATTTTTTGATCTTTCGATTTTTCAACTTCTTGCTTTTAGATTTTTCGGTTTTTAAATTTTTCAATTTTCAGTTTTTCTATTTTCCAATTTATCGAGATTTCTATGTATTTTTTAATTTTTCGATTTATCGGGTTTTTTAAGTTAAATGTTTCAATTTCAAATTTTTCGTTTTCGATTCCTTTTCTTAATTTTTCTGTTAAGCGATTCTTTGATTTTTCGACTTTTCGATTTCCCAATTTTTCGATTTTTGGATTTCTCGCTTTTTCGATTTTCCAATTTTTCGATGTTTCGATTTTTCAGTTTTTCGATTTTTAAGTTTTAGATTTTTGAATTTTTCTTTTTTGATTCTTTGATGTTTGGATTTCTCCATTTTTCAATTTTGCGATATTTCAATTGTTCAATGTTTTAAATTTTAGATTTTTCGATTACTGGATTTTTTGATTTTCCGGTTCTTCAGTATTACTATTTTTGACAATTTTCAAATTTTGACGTTGTTAAATTTTCAGTTTTCTGATTTTTCTCGAATTCGCAGTTTCGATTTTTCAGTTTTTCAATTCTTCAGTTTTCCGTTTTTTACACTTTAGATTTTTCAATTTTCGACTGTTTTATATATATTTCGATTTGTGAATTTTTCGAGTTTTCAATTTTTTGAGAACTCGATTTATCGAGATTCGGATGTTTCGATGTTTTGATTGTCTCAGCTTTTGAATTTTTCAATGTTTCGATTTTTCGATTAATCGGTTTTTCGTTTTTTTACATTTCGCTTTTCGATTTTTGAATTTTCCAATTTTTTAAATTTTCAAGTGTTGACGTTTCTAAATTTTCAGTTTTCCGATTTCTCAATTAATCTATTTTTTGGTTTTCCCATTTTCGACTTGCGAAGGTTTCGATTTTTCAGTTTTTCATTTCCTCAATTTTTCGATTTTTCAGGCTCCAGATTTTTCAATTTTTCGATTCTTTAGATTTGAAATTTTTTAATTTTGTAATTTTTCGATATTTCAGTTTCTCATTTTTGGATTTTTCACATTCTCACATTTTGTCATTTTCAATTTTTCGTTTCCTCAATTTTTCAAGTTGTCGATTTTTATTTTTCATTTTCCCGATTTTTTTAATTTTCATTTTCAATTCCTTTATTGTTTGTTGTTTCTTTCGATTTTTCAATTTTTCGTTTCTTCAATTTTTCGAATATTTAGTTTCTCAATTTTTCGTTTCCACAATTTTTATTTTTCTGTGTGGCGAATTTTTAATTTTTATTTTATCGATTTATATCACAATTGTCCGTTTCTTCATTTCCTTTATTTACTGTGTTTTTTTTTCGATTTTACAATTTTTCATTTGTTCAATTTTTCAAATTTTCAGGCTTTGAATTTTCAGTTCGTCCATATTCAATTTTTAAATTTTTCACTTTGCAGTTTTTGGATTTCCAGTCTTCCGATTTTCCAATTTCTTTAATTATAAATATTTCTACGTCATAATACATATTTCTTTTTTTTAATTTTTCACATTTTCGATTCTTAAGATTTTTCAAGTTTTTATTATACACTTTTTCGTTTTTTTATTTTTGATTTTTCAATTTTACAATTTGGCAACTTCCAAATTTTCCAATTTTTCAATATTACAATTTCTCATTCTTCCATTTTTCACATTCTCGATTTTTAATTGTGCCGTTTTTCAATTTTCCGTCCCCTCAATTTTTCAACTCCCCGATTTTTATTTTGCATTTTCCTGATTTTTTATTTTTCATTTTCTGGATTTTTTATCACAATTTTTCGGTTTTTCATTTCCTTAATTTTTGTTGTTTCTTTCGATTTTCCAATTTTTCGTTTATTCAATTTTTCAAATTTTCAGGCCAATCGATTCCAATTAGTCGATTTTCCAAATTTAAAATTTTTCAGTTTAATTTTTCTTTTTTAAAATGTTTTAAATTTTAGATTCTTCGATTACTGGATTTTTTGATTTTTCAGTTCCTCAATTTTTCGATTTTTCAGGCTCACGATTTTTCAATTTTTCGATTCTTCAGGTTTGCAATTTTTCGGCTTTTCGATTTCCCAATTTTTCAATTTTTTAATTTCCCAATTTTTGGATATTTCGTTAAATTTTGCGAGTTTTCTCAGATTTTCGATTCTTCAATTTTTCAATTTTGGAATTTTTTAGTATTTCGACTTTTGGATTTATCACGTTCTGGACTTTTCGATTTCTCGACTTTTTACTTTTTGGATTTTCAATTTTTCGGTTTTTGAACTTTCGGTTTTCACAATCTTTCAACTTTTCGATATTTTAAGTTTTCAATTTTTAAAATTTTAAGTTTTTCGATTTCTCAAGTTTTCAGTTCTTTTATATTTAAATTTTTCTATTTTCGAAATTTAAAGTTAATTATAAGTTACTCTTTTAAAAGACACACTAGGAGCCGCTGTTAATTTAGTTGGATCATGGGTTGTTCTGGGATGAGGAAATCAAGTAACAAAAAACCAATTTTTATTAAGTTGTTTATAAATAAAAATTACAATCTCAGTTGGCCGTACGAACTATGCAAACTATTTCTAGGTAATTGCAAGGGTGGATTGGACAAATTGTCCAATACCACACGGGTCCCCAATAAATCGAACGTTTCCTGCTAATCCGAATTATCCCCTATTAAAAGTAATCCTCATAGAAAATGTAAATAGGCAATTTTACACGAAAGCAATTTCCTGCGTTCCAGAATGTGGCTGTGGCTGTGTCCTGCGGTGTTCCTGCTGGGCGTTCTGCAGGAGGCGAGTCCAGGACCGGCTTGCAGGATCAGCGAGTTTCCGTGCCGGAACAAACTTTGCGTTCGACTCAATGCCTACTGCGATGGAAACGACGATTGTGGTGACATGTCAGACGAACCCCTATATTGCACGGGTAAGTACGGGTTGATTTTGCAATAAATAACAAAGCACTAGTAATAAACTGAAAAAACAAGCCAACAATTTATTTATCAATCGGTTCCTGGTTGCACTCCACGGCATCAATTTGATTCTCGCGCTTTTCCTCCCTCAACCTCTCCCTCAAATTGTGCAAACACGAACACTTAAAATCGTAATTTTTCCGAAGGATCACCTTCTTCACCTTGGAAACGACGTCGTACGGAACGCACTCGAACAAATTCCGTGACAGATTCAATTCCAGCATTTCGCTCATATTTTCAAAAGCTTCACTCTCAATTTTCGAAAGGGAGTTTTTGTCCAAGTTGAGTTTATGTAATTCCGTCATATGCGAAAACACTTTCCAGTCGACTTCCCTGAGATTGTTTTTCCTTAAACACAGTTCATGTAACGAGTCTATTCCATCCAGAGCTTCCGGGTGTATAAACGAAATGTTGTTGCTGCTCAAAAAAATCTGCGTGTCGACGTATTCTTCACCGTTCACTTCGTGACTCGTCTTTATGTTAATAAAAGCTTTGGCCGGCAACTCGGTGACTTTGTTTCTTCTGAATTGCACTATCCGCAACTTCGGGGTGTTCACAAACCATCGACTATCCCACCTCGATAGCATGTTCCTGTTCAAACGTATAATCTCCAAAGCTGGCATGTTGTCGAAAGCTCCGGACTGTATAGTCGTTATTTCGTTCTGCTGCAGCCACAATTCGCGAATCGGCAAGTAATTGAACACCCCGTTGACGATCACCGTTAGATCGTTCTCCTGCATGTGCACTTCTTCGATTTTGGGTAAATTCTGGAAAGCGTTTTGTTCCAAAACCTGGATCCCGCAGTCTTTCACTCGCAGAATCTTCAAATTCGGTAAATTTTTAACCGCGCCGGTGTACATTTTCATCTTCTTTGTGCGGATTTTGATGTCGACGGCTTTCGCGAATTGGTGCTGGTCGATGGTGGTGAGTCTCGAAAGCGAGAGGTTTGCTACCCGCGTGTCTTTGAGGCGCTTGAAGGAGACCACAGCCGACTGAAATAGGTATCTTTGGGTCAAAACCAGCTGCCAAAGCGTCAAGAGAATGCAAGTTTTGGCGAAAAATTTCATTGCGGTGCGTTTTTGGCGAACTTTAAACTAGAACTGTTTAATGTTTTGTACGATGACCCAACTAATTAAAATAATTTGTGCAGTTTCACACGAGTAAGGATAGGCGGGATGGTTAATTTGGTTATTTTTAATTGGTTCGACATTGACACACTTATTACGTTTCATTCGGTTTCATGGTAAACAAAAAAAAATTGGTCGAAAGTTATTTCCTTTCTGAAATATAGTCCAACAAATACAGCTTCTCTGAAAAATTATAAAATTTGATTTTGCTGGATTTTACTTTTTGTGGTAAGGTCTATAGAATAAAAACAATGTAGAAGGTACCGGTCACTCTGTAATGAAAAAAAAAAGGTTTTACCTTTTTAAAAAAAGACATTTGGGGCCCCCGAGAAGGTTTCACATTTTATATTAAGAAAAAAGACATTTGGGACCCCCGAGAAGGTTTTACATTTTTAAAAATCATGTGAATTAGACACAATAAGGTACAACAGTAAACACCGCCCACTTTTCCAGCTAGTGACATAATTTATTACGGTGGAGGTTGTGCAAGTGGGAGGAGCATTAGTAATATTGTGTTTTAATGTAGTTCTCATGTCTGGTATGCTTATTTAACACTAGCTCAATTTGATTTGACAAGCCGCAGAATGTAAGTTTTAACTCAAAATCAAAAGTGGCCCCACCCACCCACCCTTACTCCATTTTGATGACCCTTTTATTGGCTCTCACTCGGAAGTTGGATTTTATTTTGACAATTAATAGAATCTAGGACTAAATATTTCTTAATAAATTTTTTATTTTTATTCGAAAAACGACTTTGCCGTCAACATTTAGAAAAAAATATGTAAAAACCACTCTCGTTCTCCGGGCCAATGAAATGATTTATTAAGGTAGAGCTTGTGCAAATGGGGGGAGCATTAGTAGTATTTTGTTTCAATATACTTTTCACGTCTGGCATGCGTATTTAAAACCAACTCAATTTTTTTAGACAATTTATTTACAATTTATCAATCTTCTCACCAACGATTTAACAGATTTGCGTAGGATTCGAATAAGATAATAATCTTGTCGTCAATTAACAATATTAAGATTATTCACCAGAATAGAGAGAGGGTGGGTGGGTGGGGCTATTGCTTGCTCATCAGACTGCAAAAAAACCTAAACATAGCTCCGCCCACATTTTTCCTTAATTTTGCTAATCTATTTCATGCCTGTAAAGTAGGAATTCAATTTTGATTTAACAAGCGACAGAATTTAAGATTTAACTCAAAGTCGAAAGTGGCCCCACCCACCCACCCCTACTCCATTTTGATGGCCGATTTTATTGGCTCTCACTCGGAAGTTGGATTTTATTTTGACAATTAATACACGCTAGAACTAAATAATTTTTAAATACAATTTTTTGATTTTTATTCGAAAGACGACTTTGCCGTCAGCGTTTAGACAGAAATATTTAAAAATCATATGAAGTAGACACCACTTGGTGCAACAGGAAACGCCACTCCTATTCTCCGGGCCAATGAAATGATTGATTAAGGTGGAGCTTGTGCGAATGGGAGGATCATTAGGAATATTGTGTTTTAATATAGTTCTCACGTCTGGTATGCTTATTCAAGACCAACTCAATTCTTTTTAGATATTTTGTTACAATTTATCAATCTTCTGACAACGATATAACAGATTTCAGTAGGATTCTAATAAGATAATAATCTTGTCATTAATTAACAATATTAAGATTATTCATCACAATAAAAAGAGCGTGGGTGGGTGGTATTGGTTGCTCATAAGACTGCACAAAAGACCTAAACTTAGCTCCACCCCCTCCTTCCTCCATTTTGCTAGCCTACTTTATTTCTATAAAATAAGTTGGAATTGAATTTTGATTTGACAACCGACAGAATGTAAGATTTAACTCAAAGCCAAAAGTGGCCCCACCCACCCACCCCTACTCTATTTTGGTGACCCTTTTATTGGCTCTTAATCAAAAGTTGGATTTTAGTTTGACAATTAATACACGCTAGAACTAAATATTTTTTAATAAAATTTTTATTTCTATTGGAAAAACAACTTTGCCTTCAACGTTTAGACAGAAATATTTAAAAATGATGTCAAGTAGACACAACTGGGTACAACTGTAAACGCCACTACTCTTCTCCGGACCAATGAAATGATTTATTAAGGTGGAGCTTGTGCGAGTGGGAGGAGCATTAGTAATATTATGTTTTAATTAGTTCTCGCGTCTGCCACGTTTATTTAAAACAAACTCGATCCTTTTCAGATATTTTATTTGCAATTTATCAATCTTCTCATCAACGATTTAACAGATTTGAGTAGAATTCTAATAAGATAATAATCTTGTCATTAATTAACAATATTAAGATTATTTATTCACCAGAATAAAGAGGGGGTGGGTGGGTGGGGCTATTGCTGGTTCATAAGACTGCACAGAAAACTAAACTTAGCTCCGCCCATCTCCTTCCTCCATTTGGCTAACCTATATTATTTCTATAAAGTAGGAATTGAATTTTGATTTGACGAGCAGCAGAATGTAAGATTCATTTCAAATATAAAAGAGGCCCCACCCACCCACCCCTACTCCATTTTGATGACCCATTTCATTGGCTCTCACTTGGAAGTTGAATTTTATTTTGTCAATTAATACAATATAGGACTGAATATTTTTTAATAAAATTTTTATTTTTATTCGAAAGACGACTTTGCCGTCAGTGTTTATACAGAAATATTTAAAAATCATGTAAAGTATACACCACTGGGTACAACTGTGAACGCCATTCCTCTTCTCCGAGCCAATTAAATGATTTATTAAGGTGGAGCTTGTGCGAGTGGGAGGAGCATTAATAATACTGTGTTTTAATTAGTTCTCACGTCTGCTACGCTTATTTAACACCAACTCAATTCTTTTCAGATATTTTATTTGCAATTTATCAATCTTCTCACCAACGATTTAACAGATTTGAGTGGGATTCTAATAAGATAATTATGTGGTCACTGATTAACAATGTTAAGAGTCATCACTAGAATAGAGAGAGGGTGGGTGGGCGGGGCTATTGCTTGCTCATACGACTGCAGAAAAACCCTAAACTTAGCCCCGCCCACCTACTTCCTCCATTTTCCTAACCTATATTATTTCTGTCAAGTAGGAATTGAATTTTGATTTGACAAGCGACAGAATGTACCATTTAATTCAAAGTTAAAAGTGGCCCCACCTACCCACCCCTACTCCGTTTTCATGACTCATTTTATTGGCTCTGAGGCGAAAGTCGAATTTTATTTTGACAATTAATAGAATCTAGAACTAAATATTTTTTAATAAAATTTTTATTTTTATTCGAAGAACGACTTTAGACAGAAATATTTAAAAATCATATGAATTAGACACCACTGGGTACAACTGTAAACGCCACTCCTCTTCTCCAGGCCAATGAAATGATTTATTAAGGTGGAGCTTGTGCAAGTGGGAGGAGCATTAGTAATATTACGTTTTAATTAGTTCTCACGTCTGCTACGCTTATTTAACACAAACTCAATTCTTTTCAGATATTTTATTTGCAATGTATCAATCTTCTCACCCACGATTTAACAGATTTGAGTAGAATTCTAATAAGATCATAATATTGTCATGAATTAACAATATTAAGATTATTCACCAAAATAAAGAGGGGGTGAGTGGGTGGGGCTATTGCTTGCTCATAAGACTGCAGAAAAAACCGAAACTTAGCTCCACCCACTTCCATCCTCCATTTTGCTAACCTAATTACCTAATTTACTTCTGCAAACTTGGAATTGAATTTTGATTTGACAAGCGGCACAATATAAGATTTAACTCAAACACAAAAGATGCCCCACCCACCCACCCCTACTCCATTTTGATGACCCATTTTTATTGGCTCTCACTCGGAAGTTGGATTTTATTTTGACAACTAATAGAATCTAGGACTGAATATTTTTTAATAAAATTTTTATTTTTATTCGAAAGACGACTTTACCGTCAGTGTTTATACAGAAATATTTAAAAATCATGTGGAGTAGACACCACTGGGTACAACTGTGAACGCCATTCCTCTTCTCCGGCCCAATGAAATGATTTATTAAGGTGGAGCTTATGCACATGGGAGGAGCATTAGTAATATTATGTTTTAATTACTTCTCAAGTTTGCTACGCTTATTTAACACAAACTCAATCCTTTTCAGATATTTTATTTGCAATTTATCAATCTTCTCACCAACGATTTAACAGATTTGAGTAGGATTCCAATAAGATAATAATCTTGTCATTAATTAACAATATTAAGATTATTCACCAGAATAAAGTGAGGGTGGGTGGGTGGGGCTACTGTTTGCTCAAAAGACTGCAGAAAAAACCTACACTTAGCAACGCCCACCTTCTTCCTCCATTTTGCTATCCTATTTTATTTCTCTAAAGTAGGAATTGAATTTTGATTTGACAAGCGACAGAATGTAAGTTTTAACTCAAAGCCAAAAGTGGCCCCACCCACCCACCCCTACTCCATTTTTATGACCCATTTTATTGGCTCTTGCTCGGAAGTTGGATTTTATTTTGACAATTAATACACGCTAGAACTAAATAATATTTAAATACAATTTTTATTTTTATTCGAAAAACGACTTTACCATCAACATTTAGACAGAAATATTTAAAAATGACATGAAGTACAACTGTAAACCCCAGTCCTCTGCTCCGCGCCAATGAAATAATTTGTTAAGGTGGAGCTTGTGCGAGTGGGAGGAGCATTGATAATATTGTGTTTTAATATAGTTCTCACGTCTGGTATGCTTATTTAGTACCAACTCAATTCTTTTTAGATAATTTATTTACAATTTATCAATCTTCTCACCAACGATTTAACAGGTTTAAGTAGAATTCTAATAAGATCATAATCTTGTCATTAATTAACAATGTAGAGAGTCATCATTAGAATAAAGAGAGGGTGGGTGGGCGGGGCTACTGCTTGTTCATTAGACTACAGAAAAACCTAAACTTAGCTCCGCCCACCTCCTACCCCATTTTGCTAACCTATTTTATTTCTGTAATGTAGGATTTGAATTTTGATTTGACAAGCGGCAGAATGTATCTAAGTTTTAACTCAAAGTCAAAAGTGGCCCCACCCACCCACCCCTACACCATTTTGATGACCCATTTTATTGGCTCTTGCTCGGAAGTTGGATTTTATTTTGACAATTAAGACACGCTAGAACCAAATAGTTTTTAATGCAATTTTTATTTTTATTCAAAAAACAACTTTACCATCAGCATATAGACAGAAATATTTAAAAATCATATGAAGCACAATTGTAAACGCCAGTCGTCTCCTCCGCGCCAATGAAATAATTTGTTAAGGTGGAGCTTTTGCGAGTGGGAGGAGCATTGATAATATTGTGTTTTAATATAGTTCTCACGTCTTGTATGCTTATTTAGTACCAACTCAATTCTTTTTAGATAATTTATTTACAATTTATCAATCTTCTCATCAACGATTTATCAGATTTGAGTCGGATTCTAATAAGATAATAACCTTGTAATTAGCTAACAATGCAGAGAGTCATCACTAGAATAAAGAAAGGGTGGGTAGGCGGGGCTATTGCTTGTTCGTAAGACTGCACAGAAAACCTAAACTTAGCTCCGCCCATCTCCTTCCTCCATTTTGCTAACCGATATTATTTCTATAAAGTAGGAATTGAATTTTGATTTGACGAGCAGCAGAATGTAAGATTCATTTCAAAGTAAAAAGTTGACCCACCCACCCACCCCTACTCCATTTTGATGACCCATTTTATTGGCTCTTGCTCGGATGTTGGATTTTATTTTGACAATTAATACACGCTAGAACTAAATAATTTTTAAACCAATTTTTATTTTTATTCGAAAAACGACTTTGTAGTCAGCGTTTAGTCAGAAATATTGAAAAATCACATGAAGTAGACACTACTAGATACAACTGTAAACGCCACTCCTCTTCTCCGGGCCAATGAAATGATTTATTAAGGTGGAGCTTGTGCGAGTGGGAGGAGCATTAGTAATATTGTGTTCTCATGTTTAGTATGCCTATTTAACACCAGCTCAATTCTTTTTAGATAATTTGTTTACAATTTATCAATCTTCTCACCAAGGATTTAACAGATTTGAGTCGGATTCTAATAAGATAGTAAACCTTGTCATTAATTAACAATGCAGAGAGTCATCACTAGAATAAAGAGAGGGTGGGTGGGCGGGGCTATTGCTTGTCCATAAGACTGCACAGAAAACCTAAACTTAGCTCCGCCCATCTCCTTCCTCCATTTTTCTAACCTATTTCATTTCTATAAAATAAGTAGGAATGGAATTTTCACGGAAAAAAAAATTAGTTCTGTCGACAATAATTCTGATTACACCAACTATGTTTTATAATTAATATAGGGACAACTAACTTTATTGTGCCGAGGACAATACTGACATATTTGGATCAAAATAGTTGTACCAACAATACAGTATAGTTGGCACAATAACAATATCATATAGTCAACTCAACAATATAGATTAGGGTCGGTGCGACTTACTGCTTTAGTTATTTCAACTAGAATTGTAACTCATTTAATATTGTTGTGGCTAATAGAGTTTTTAGTTAATAAATAAAAAATCTGTTTTTATTAAAATGTTTTATTAAAAAATAAAAAATAAATGTAAACAGTTTACAATGTAAATGCAATTATTAATACGCTTATCATTACTTCATTTGTACAATAATAACAAACAAGTTTCTAAATTCCATTAGAATTTATATAGGACGAACCTAATTTTCATTTGGTAGGTTTAAATATTACATTTTATATCCCATGTTTTTTATTTATGTAATACTTTCCATCAGGAAGCATGCTAAGATAATATCTGTCGTAGTTTTTAAGATTGTTAATTTTTATCAGGCTTCTTTTATCGTTTTTTTCTACAGCAAATGCATGATAATGTTCATAGACACCAGTTGTAAGGAATTCCGCATATATAAAGAAAATTTCATTTTGTATAGTTATAATATCTAATATTTTAGCAAATAATGGAAGATCCAATACATCAACCACAATAATGTCATGCTTCTTGTATATTAGTCCTAAAATTTTTACCCACTTAAAGCGTTCTACATAATCTATATCATTAGTAATAAACATGTTAAATTCATACTCTAAAAGACATATAAAATCTGCTGGACCATACTTTACTGTTTCTGTAAATCCATTATTACAAATAAGTTTGTGACATAACTGAAGTTGATTTTTTATTCCTAACGTTAAGCAAATATTTTTCTTTGAACAACTAATATTAGCAGTAATTTTAAAGGGTCTGTGCTTGGATTCGAATCTCATAGACCAAATATGCACCAGAGGTCCGACCATACGTACAAGTAAAGGATAATGTATCATATTGTGGTGTTTCGGTTTAAGTGTCTGTTTTAATAAAACTGTATAAATATAGTGGTGTTCATAAACCAATGATTTTAAGAGTTGCTCATATTGAGGTTGAACTGATTTATCTAAAATTATGTCCAATATTTTACATAGTGTCAAATATAACTGCCAATAGGTATGATTCTCTGGCACTAAATGACCAACCATTAAACCAAACAGTGAAGCAAAGCACATCATTTCAGAAGCAGACATCTTTAAGTTATTCTTCTTTAGTTGATCTTCGTTAATTTTAGGTGGAATATTTGTTTCTGATCCATAATCAAAAGCCGCAATTTTAGAATTTAACATTGTCAAACTAAATAATTTTATTTCATAAATAAAATGCTTTAATATTAAACTCAGGTCATAATTACACACTCCCTCTAACATATCATGCATTATGTCCATACTGTAATTTTCGGTAACATGAAAACCAATTACTTCGTTCCAAATAGATTTTTTTTTAATACCTGTTAAAATAGGATTATTTAAATGCAGATGGTTTTCGTAACTAATAACATTACGAAGCTGAGTTTGATCTTCTTCACATTTTATTTGACACTCAGATTTTGTCATTGTGCAAAGACGGCAAAAATGAGTTGCGCTAAAACTCTCAACAAAATCTAGCATTGAGTTTAGTCCAAGATTGTCTCCAATACATAAACCGATGGTAAAATAAATGGTCCTACATTCTTGTCCGCAGTTAATATTTATTCCAACATTGTGCAGATAATTTAATTCGTCAATTACAATTTTAAAAACTTGATTACCAACCGTTTTTCTGTCAAGAGACTTAAACAATTGTACCAATAAAATGTTTTCTGTTAACGACTGAAATTCTGGGGGAAAACATGGAATCGAAACATATACCGCCCCTAACTTATTTACGCCTGAATGCGATCCTAGTACATTTCCCGTTTCATAGTCATCGAAATATATGAACAATGGAAAAACAATTTTATTCTCAAATAGTTGTAATTTCGATTGCCAAAGCTCACACTGAATAAAATTTTCTTTAATGATGGTATTATCCATAAGAAGTTTGGTATATTCGAAAGTTTTTTGAAACACATTGGGTAATTCAAAAATTTTTTTTAAATTGTCTCTAAGTGGAATAAACGTATCTTTTGAAACGTAAGTATTTACCGTTGGACAACATTTTTTAGTTTTTGATTCGATGTCTTCACGTATAATAAATTCTTCAGGCTTTACATAAAAACCACATTTCTGAAAATATTTAAATCTTTTATATTCTGTTGACAACTCTTTGAAAGGATTTTGACGCAAGTTAAAATAAAGATTTACCAAATCAATTAATTTATCCTCACATTTAAGTGTGGTTAACAAGTTAAAAATAAAAATTTGGAAAGTTTTTAAAAATGTTCCATTAAATAATTTTGATGTCATATTAACAACATTTTGAACTTCAACCCTAGGTATGCAATTATTGCTATACAAAGATGAAACAAATTCTAAGATATCGTTTTTAAAGCTTTCAGTATCAATTTCATTTTTAATTAAATGAGTTTGTAAAGGGGTGTCTGTATTTGAATTCTGATGAACGTTATTCAATGTGGTCGACGCTGATGGTAGCATTTGCAAGTTTTTATTTACTTTTTCGCTTGCAGAAAAATTTTGCCCTAAACTAGGTGTAATTCTATTGTTAGAAGTCAAGTGTTTGTCTTTGACATGCTTCCTGAAAGAATTTATATTACTCATTGTTCTGAAACAAGAATTTTCGCAACATATTATTGGTCCATCTTTAAAGGAATGCACGTGTTTTAAGTGCAATAGCAATATTTTTATGGAAAGAAATGATTTATTACACTGAAAACATATATTTGAAAATTAGGTATATCATAAACAAATTAAAAACAAAAGTAAAAAAGACAAGACAAAAATTTAACAGTTATTCAACTGACTCAAAAATGTATTGACGGAAATGTAATTTACATCATGTTTTGCATCGTGAATATTGTATATGTGCTGTTGAATTAACTGCCAAAGATGCTTACTTGGAGACGGATATTCTGCATTTAAAACGTGGAACATTTTGAAACATACATCAAAACATTTGACTACGCTCTCTACGCTATATAGATAAGAGTCTACTTGTAACATGCAACTTCAATTTTCAAAGTTACCTACCACAATGGGTAGGGGTTGAAATGTATCACACTTATTAAGAAATTTGTTCCGCTGCTGTTCTAGCACCACCTTCACTTCGTCTGCTGTTGGAACATGCAGTAAAAACGTCTCCTGGCACTCAGTTTTTGACGGTCTCCATCTTATTTTTTTTTTTTTGGATTTGATTGTGACGTACTTGATATGACACTTGTTTGGACAAGATGGGGTAAAATTAATAATGCAAGTGCATTAGTGGCATCTAAAACATATTTGTTACTATTGCAATTTATAAATGGATAAATCAGATTGTATACCTTCAGACTGACTTTCTGACAACTTCTCTAAGTAATGTTTTACATTTACATCTTTTGAATTTTTGGCTAAGCTCAAAATTTTCACGACAAAATCATTAATTTTTGCGTATAAATTGTATTCCTGATTCGGGAAAAGTTTTTGGAAATCCACTTCAAACTAAAAATAATTATAAATTTCATGTTCTACCATAAATGTAAATGAAATTCAATTCAAATTCCTACAAAATAATAATTTCATATAGCTCACGTACTAAAGTGTATCCAAGAGGTCTCTTAAGTCCAGGGAATGTTGTTAAATATTCAAATATTGTAGACTGACTCTCGTTGTACTTTTTTAGCCTGGTTTTGGACGTTTCCTTCCAATGTTCAATCACTTGTGGCCACGGTTCGTAGTTATTTTTTAACCACTGTACGATATTTTCATAGTTATCGTCTTCTGCACTCAATTCCTCTTCCGAGGTTTCTATAAACACAGTTGGTACATTATAAAATTTCTATTTTTATTAAAAAAAATAACCTACTACTACTATTTCCTTTAGTCTCTAAAATACCAGACTGTCTTAATGTTCTTCTAGTATTGTGGTATTTATCAAATAATTTTCCACGCGCACACTTTTTGTATTTTCCATCCACGTTGACGTACGGTGTATAATATGTTTCAATTCTTTCCTTTGGAAATAACTGTTTAATATAGCGTGCAAGCTGAATAAACCGTCTTGAAGGAGTTCTATAAAAAAAGTTTTTATTTCTCAGAAGCTAATACTTTTAAAAAATAATCTATTTCACCTTTTGTCCAAATGGGTTCGCAATTCTTCTTCAATAATGATTGATACTAGATTGTTCTGTAGGGTAGGTGTTAATGACGTTTCAGAGGACTTTGTTTGCAACAACTGACGTCCCTTAACACTTTTTTTTAAACATTTTTTTAGGTCCTGAAATATATTTACTTTAAAATTGAATTGAATGGACATAACTGTTTATTATACATATTTGTTTCTTAAGAAAGTATCATTTCATTGAAAAATAATTGCATAGTAAATATATGTTACTTGCTTAACGATTTGCCATAACAAAAAATACAAAACAGAACAATGTAAGAATATAAATTAACTTACAAAATCATAGGTAATTGGTTCATCCCCTACTGTGGGATTGCCAATGAAGGCATTTTGCCTTTTATAGGGAACAGGTACAAAATCTAGAATTATACATAATTAAACGAATTTTAAAATTCAAGCTCATACCTACCTAGTGCTTTATCTTGAAAAAAATCCTCGTACTCTTTGGATATAATTTCATTTAACGGTGTAGATGACTGTGAAGGAGTCGAGCAGATAGAAGTAAAGCTAGCATCAGATAATATTGGATTTTCATCGACAGCCAAACTGTTTAATGATGTCGTTGAAGCAGGTGACAACGAATTTTCCAAATTATAGAGAGGTCGTGAAATAAAATTCAAATCAGACACGCTATGGTTCCGTTTGCTGGTAGATGGACCATCAGAACTCTCGATATCCACAATACAGATGTCAGTTTTTAAACGTTTAAAGTGGGACAAAAACTTTGCTCTATCTCCTATTTTTGGAATAAGTTCCTTTATTAAATCCTCCGTTAGGTTAATAAAGGCTGCAAAATCTACACCCTGTTCTGAAAGATGAGAATCGTAATTACTAAATTGTGATATAATACTACTTATATGAAACAAGTTAAAAAGTTTTAAGTTTTTTCAAAAAGAAAAAAATGATCTTTTCATTTTTACTCAACAGCCGTAGAAATAAGGATGACGATTGTTGAGTAATAAAATAAATAATAAATTGTTGAGTAACATGCATGAGTACTTCCATACTAAGTCCAGCAAAAGATAAATGCAAACGCCGTCAATTATTTTGTGAGGAGTATTTTTTTTAGTATTTTAGACCGCAACCTGCAATAAAACCATTATGCATTAGGATGCATTCACTAAAGAACAAATACGGTTCTGGAAAGGTATATAAGGGTAGCGACTAATTTTGATTGACAGCTTTACACAGAGTACAGCTTCGAAAACGACTCGAGATTTTACAGCGGCAATACTCATAATAATTGGAGTAATTGCTTTTATCTTTTGCTGGACATTAACTGGAATTAAACAGGTATGTACCTTGAAAACTCTCCCATAAATGGGCCAGACCCCATTTGTCTAGGTAATCTTTAACTTCAACTTCCATAATTACCTTTTTGTAACTACAAATATTAAGAAAAACCACAAAAAGAACGAAAACACTGCACTTCTCTGCACTAACTGCGTCACACATACACCCGTGACTTCGTGACGGAAACTGAGACGACGAAAACACGGTGGTTCCCAGAAATAAAGGCATTGTTATTATAACAAAACTTCTCGGTTACGATTAAAATGTACCATTCGTAGTGGTTTCGAACAACTATGCAAACTGTAACAACATTTTTTTACTCTGCTGTTCGATCAAATGAACTAAATTGTACAGTTTTCATAACTATATAAGCGCAATTATTTTAATACTGTTGTCACGATTATGCGAAATTTGTCTATATTGTTAAAACAACGACACAATATCGTCCGAGCAATTATAAACCGGCCAACTATAGAGGTATAGTTGATTTTACTACGGACTGTTTTTAGAGTGTTTGATTTGACAAGCGACACAATGTAAGATTTAACTCAAAGTCAAAAGTGGCCCCACCCACCCACCCTTACTCCATTCTGATGGCCATTTTATTGGCTCTCACTCGAAAGATGGATTTTATTTTGACCTTAATACACACTAGAACTTAATATTTTTTAATAAAATTTTTATTTTTATTCGAATAACGACTTTCCCGTCAGCGTTTAGACAGAATTATTTCAAAATCATATGAAGTAGACACCACTGGGTACATCTGTAAACGCTACTCCTCTTCTCCGAGCCAATGAAATGATTATTAAATTGGAGCTTGTGCGAATGGGAGGAGCGTTAGTAATATTGTGTTTCAATATACTTCTCACGTCTGGTATGCTTATTTAACACTAGCTCAATTCTTTTTAGATATTTTGTTTATAGTTTATCAATCTTCTCACCAACGATTTAACGGATTTGAGTAGGATTCTATAAGATAATAATCTTGTCATTAATTAACAATATTAAGATTATTCATCAGAATAAAGAGAGGGTGGGTGGGTGGGGCTATTGGTTGCTCATAAGACGGCAGAAAAGACTTAAACTTAGCTCCACCCCCTCCTTCCTCCATTTTGCTAGCCTATTTTATTTCTATAAAATAAGTTGGCATTAAATTTTGATTTGACAAGCGACAGAATGTAAGATTTAACTCACACTAAAAAGTGGCCCCACCCACCCACCCTTACTCCATTCTGATGACCCTTTCATTGGCTCTCAGTTAGAAGTTGAATTTTATTTTGACAATTAATACGTATTAAGATTATATATTTTTTAATAAAATTTTTATTTTTATTCGAAAAATGGCTTTAACGTCAGCGTTTAGACATAAATTTTTAAAAATCATGTCAAGTAGACACCACTGGGTACAACCGTAAAGGCAACTCCCTTTCTCCGGACCAATGAAATGATTTATTAAGGTGGAGCTTGTGCGAATGGGAGGAGCATTAGTAATAGTGTTTTAATACAATTCGCACGTCTGGTGTACTTATTTAGCACCAGCTCAATTTTTTTAGATATTTTATTTACAATTTATCAATCTTCTCACCAATAATTTAACAGATTTGAGTAGGATTCTAATAAGATAATAATCTTGTCACTAATTAGCAATGTAGAGAGTCATCACTAGAATAAAGAGAGGGTGGGTGGGCGGGGCTACTGCTTGTTCATTAGACTACAGAAAAACCTAATCTTAGCTCCGCCCACCTCCTACCCCCTTTTGCTAACCTATTTTATTTCTGCAATGTAGGAATTGAATTTTGATTTGACAAGCGACAGAATGTAAGATTTAACTCAATATTAAAAGCGGCCCCACCCACCCACCCCTACTCTATTTTGATGACCCATTTAATTGGCTCTCACTCGGAAGTTGGGTTTTATTTTGACAATTAATACACGCTAACATTAAATATGTTTTAATAAAATTTTTATTTTAATTCGAAAAACAACTTTGCCGTCAGCGTTTAGACAGAAATATTGAAAAATCACATGAAGTAAACACCATTAGATACAACTGTAAACACCACTCCTGTTTTCCGGACCAATGAAGTGATTTATTATGGTGGAGCTTATGCGAGTGGGAGGAGCATTAGTAATGTTGTGTTTCAATATACTTCTCACGTCTGGTATGCTTATTTAACACTAGCTCAATTCTTTTTAGATATTTTGTTTACAATTTATCAATCTTCTCACCAACGATTTAACGGATTTGAGTAGGATTCTATAAGATAATAATCTTGTCATTAATTAACAATATTAAGATTATTCATCAGAATAAAGAGAGGGTGGGTGGGTGGGGCTATTGATTGCTCATAAGACTGCAGAAAACACTTAAACTTAGCTCCACCCCCTCCTTCCTCCGTTTTGCTAGCCTATTTCATTTCTATAAAATAAGTTGGCATTAAATTTTGATTTGACTAGCGACAGAATGTAAGATTTAACTCACACTAAAAAGTGGCCCCACCCACCCACCCTTACTCCATTCTGATGACCCTTTCATTGGCTCTCAGTTAGAAGTTGAATTTTACTTTGACAATTAATACGTATTAAGATTATATATATTTTTTAATAAAATTTTTATTTTTATTCGAAAAATGGCTTTAACGTCAGCGTTTAGACATTGGACATAAATTTTTAAAAATCATGTCAAGTAGACACCACTGGGTACAACCGTAAAAGCAACTCCCTTTCTCCGGACCAATGGAATGATTTATTAAGGTGGAGCTTGTGCGAATGGGAGGAGCATTAGTAATATTGTGTTTTAATACAATTCGCACGTCTGGTGTACTTATTTAGCACCAGCTCAATTTTTTTAGATATTTTATAATTTACAATTTATCAATCTTCTCACCAATAATTTAACAGATTTGAGTAGGATTCTAATAAGATAATAATCTTGTCATTAATTAACAATATTAAGATTATTCATCAGAATAAAGAGGGTGGGGCTATTGGCTGCAGAAAAGACCTAAACTTAACTCCACCCCCTCCTTCCTCCATTTTGCTAGCCTATTTTATTTCTATAAAACAAGTTGGAATTGAATTTTTATTTGACAAGCGACAGAATGTAAGCTTTAACTCAAAGCCAAAAGTGGCCCCACCCACCCACCCCTACTTTATTTTGATGACCCATTTCATTGGCTCTCACTCGGAAGTTGGATTTTATTTTGACAATTAATACACGCTAAGGTTAAATATTTTTTAATAACATTCGAAAAACGACTTTGCCGTCACCGTTTAGACAGCATTATTTAAAAATCATATAAAGTAGACACCACTGGGTAGAACTGTAAACGCCACTCCACTTCTCCGGGCCAATGAAATGATTCATTAAGGTGGAGCTTGAGCGAGTGGGAGGGGCATTAGTAATAACTAATGTGTTTTAATATAGTTCTCAGGTGCTTACTCAACACCAACTCAATTCTTTTTAGATTTGACAGATTTGAGTTTTGTTCTAATAAGATAATAATGTGGTCATTAATCAACAATGTTAAGAGCCATCACTAGAATGAAGAGAGGGTGGGTGGGCGGGGCTATTATTTGTTCATGAAATCATAAGACTCCAGAAATACCTAAATTCAACTCTGTCCATTTCACTAACTTATTTTATTTACTGTGAAATAGAAATTGAATTTTGATTTGACTAACGAATTTAATTTTTTTTTTTTAATAAGAACCCTTATAAGTTAAAATAAAAATATATATCTAACGTTAAAGTAAATATAAATAAGCGTGCTGGGCATACGTTCCAAATGAGTTTTCCTTTTACAAAATTTTGTAATGACGTCATCAACAATTTTGCAAAGACAACAATCGGTCCAGTAGTTTCAGAGAATCCTTGTCTAATAAAAATGGATACAGACACCAGACAGATAGATAGACAGACAGACGGAAACGGGAGACTACTTTTTTTTAACTAAAAATTAAAAAAAAACAGTCGTTGCAAAACAAATGCAAAAAAAGTTTGATACCACTTATACAGGTCACGTATAATGCGTTTATTTTTTATTATCACTATCTTATTATTGTCAAGGACTTCATTTCCGTATATTTTACAACACCATTCAGGTCCAGAACTGAATTTTAATATTATTTTACACAAATTTATATCTCAGCACTCGTTTTCAGTGGGTAGAAAACCCTCTATATCATTAAACATCGTAAAATTGCGTTTTTCTGCACTCTTCACCACCATTATTAGTGTTATTCGTCGGCACGCCTCTGACCGCGATAATAATATCAGAGATGAATTGCATGACCTTTTCCTAATAACCTCAAACGACGATATGAACCCAAGAGATTACTCTTTATTTCAAACCGAATGATGCTAGTGCAAACACTCTTTTACTTTTTCGTCGTAACACTATTCACCTTGGTGCAAAGTGGCCCCGTCCTCTTCGACAGAGCTTTCATCAAGTACGGAAGACATGGCAAACGACAAATGGTCTACGATTTTCACCACATCGACAACAAAACAGTACCCACCGACAAGCACTTGATCATCGTGAAGACAAAGACCATGGAAATCATCTACACCGAAGCTGTACGAAACTTGAAGAACCTCCAGGATTTGTATTTGTCGAACTGCGGCGTCCAGAAAATCGAAACAAAGGCTTTTTTTAATTTACCGAATTTGACTGTGCTGCATCTTGAAGATAACCATATCGAGGAGTTGAAGAAAGGGGTTTTTAATGGGTTGACAGTGAAAATTTTGTCGCTGCAGAGGAACGAGATTAAGCAGATTGACGGTGAGGCGTTCGACGATATGCCACTTTTGTTTAAGATTAAGCTCAACAGCAACAGGTTAAAATCGTGGGACTCTGGGTGGTTTAAAAACACCCCGAGATTGACGGAGTTGTATTTCAGAAGGAATAAATTGAGTTATTTGCCACGGAGTGCTTTTGTGAATGTAAAAGGTAGCCATCTGGTAGACGGGATAAGTGTGGTCGATACGAAGATATTTTTGAGTAAAAATAAATTAGGGGAACTTGTTCCTGAGAGTTTTTATGATTTGGAGAGAATCAGTCAGTTGTATCTGGACAGGAATAATATTCAGGTGGTTCCGGATGGGGCTTTTCGGGATCTGACGGATGTTGATGTAATTTATTTAGCGAGGAACAAAATTAGTGAAATAAATGGTAACGCGTTTCCCAAAGTGCGGAATATTGGAATTTTGGACCTGTCGAGTAATTTGTTAGAGTGTTTACCTTATGGATTAGTGACAGTTGCTAATGTGACTAATTTGGAGAAAAATAATGGCACCTGTGATTGTATCAAGGAGTTTAGGGCGAAGTTGCAAGAGGAGAAGCGAAGTTGTGAGATATCGTACAGCGAAGACCTCTGCACGATTACGTAAATTTGGTTTATTCTGTTATTTGAGTTGTTGCTTTAATAAATGACTTCCACTAATTAACTACTACGAAAATTTCAGTCTTGTCATCTTCAAATTTTCGTTGATCCAGTTATCGGCTTCGACGTCGACGTGTTCTTGGAAAAATTCGTTCCACCCTCCAACCACCCCTTTCCTAATAAAGGAGTCATTCGTGTCTTTTAATATACCCAATTCCCTGAGATGATCACTATTGACGGATTTATTTTTTCTGAAATTGTCGATTTTCACGTGTTCTATTAAAGTGTGGACGTCGCTGTCTGCAATTTTTTTCCCCAGAAACCTCGCTAACGTCCGTATCGTCAGCTCCATATCCTTTAAGTGAATTAAATTTATAAAAAAAAAAATTTCGTTCCACTTTCTTACTTTCGAATAGTTCTCGTAAAACACAAACAGCACGTTCGGATTGTCCTTCGCCTCCCACGCTTCCTTCACATGTTCGAAATATGGCGTACAAGGCACTAAAACTAGCACTTTTATCTCCCGAAAGTTATATTCCTCAACTTACCTAATCCATGATGGAAGTAATTCCAAAACTTATCGAAACTTTCATCAATACCAACTGTTTTGTAAGAGTTCAACAACAAATAACTGGAAACACAAACATCTTTCGGGTTTCTGGCGAGATAGATGACCTAAATGAAATTTTTTTCATATCTGTGACTCAAAAGATTGATTAAACTCACTTTGCAGCCACTCGTCAATATGTTGGAGGGTGCCAGGCTGAGGGGTAGATGTGTCTTGATAAAGCGCTTTTCGCGAGTTTCCGACAGGCTTTCCCAAGCCGGTTTCGATAATTTTTCGGCGATTTCGGCGGTTTCGCCTTTGTACAATTGGCGCTGGGCGGTGATTCGTTCGTAGTCCTGGCAGAAATAGGCGGCACCTCTGATTCAAAAATAAGGAAAAGTAGGAACACATTGAGGGTTGTACTTACTCTAGGACCGGGAATCGAAGGTCCATCACCGTTTCTGACGCTTTTTGATAATCGAGATTATTGCCCAAAAGCCACACTAGCTCGGATGTTAAGGTTGTCCCTGTTTGAAATAAAATTATAATTTAATTATTAAAAAAAAAATCACAAAGGACCTGATCGTGGAAAACCTAGAATCCACACGTCGTCTGGTCGGGCTTCAAAATTGTAGAGTTTTGAAGCCACGTCTTTGTACGATGCAGCGAAACAGTAATTTTTGGGACCCACGAAAACATGGCGATCCTTAATTTCTAAACAAAAAAATATTTTTTTATTAGTTACGTGTTTGACAAAAAATCAGTGGGTACCTGGGAATTTATTCGACATGGTTCCATTGTCGTTCTTAATTTCGAAGGGAAATATTTCATGTGTGTTAGTATCATCAAATGTGTGGTTAACCATTTTGAAACGATTCTGTGCAAAACTGACGTGTCGTACTGAAAATGTCAAGTTCATGGCAGCATTTGGTTTTATATTTTATCTACAATTTTGGCAATATTTGACAAGAGATTTCCAATTCTGAGAATATGTGTACTGTGTTTATCATATTTATTTTTGTTTATTTAGTGAGATTCGAGGTGACACGAAGGGGAAATACCTCATTTATTCCACAACATTGTGAGATATCACGTGTTAAAAAAATGCAAAATAAAACAAATAAATTCAAACGCTTTAAATGACCAAGCGCTTTGATGACAATACCAACAAAACAAAGGTAGTAAAAAAATTGTAGAAGGTTATTTTGATAGAACTTCCCTCGCCTTGAAGTATAGTCCAGATAACTAACGGAAAAAATGTAGGCATTCTCAATTTCTCAGTACATGGTTAACTTCGACTGTCTGTGTTTATACTTTAACCGATTCGACAAAGCAAGGGTCCTATAATTAATTGATAGTCAGTTTTTTTCCAAAAATACTCATAGTTTTGAAAAAATTCGGCAAAAATGTATTTTGATTGTGGTGTAAATAGTATTATCCGTGTTGATTTTTTATTGGTCAAATTAAGAACGAGTCACCCCATTTCCTCGAAAATGTGAAAAAAAAAGTCTTTATAATAATAAATGATAAAATAAGAATTATAATATTCAGATCATTTTGCTCGATTGTGGTTTAATTCAAATCAAACTAATTTCTACGTGACATTCTTTCGATGTATAAACATAAATAAACACTCGAGAGTGCTGCATATGTTTCATTGTACTTTAGAAGTGAAGGAACAACTTTCGACCAATTTTTTTTTAATTAGATTTGACGACTTACCAAAACTTACCAAACCAATGAAATTCAAATGTGGAGGAGGGTGGGGTTAGTTTTACCTTTTTACTTGGTATAGATTCCACTGTTTATCAACATAAAATACACTCATCCAATTAAATGAGTGATTAAAAAGAAAACCGGGTGGGTGGGCGGGGCCTCTTTGAAGTTTTTTTTTATTTTGTTTTGATCATTTGCCAAAAATGGAATTTAATTTTCATCCTAGGGTAGATCAAATGTGCCAATGAAATTAAAAATATGAGGTGGGTGGCGTCAGTTTTACCTTTTTTTGTATAGGTTTCACGATTTCTGTTAGTTTAACACCCTTTTGGTAATTTCCAATTTTCAAAATGAATCAAAAGTTTGTATTTTTAAAATACAAGTTTCTGGGAAATTGTCTGTGTTAAACGCCCATTTTATTATTTTCCAGTCATCAAAGTGAACCAATTTTTTAGAAATAAGGTACTCGAAGGATTTCTGTAACTAACATCTTCTAGTTGTTGAACCTTTAAAATTTGGGGAAAAAAATTCTAACTAATATTGGAAAACTCGTGGGAATTTTGACGATACCAGAAATGTGGTATAGTCAAAACTAGGGGAAAAAATAGACGGATAATTGATGACATCGTCAACAGTTTTTTTATTATGAAGGTAGTAAGTTCTTGGTAAGATAAGACTAACTTTGGCAAATGACATATCCTCTGGGAAAATAGGAGGCGGGTGGGCGGCCCTTGTATTTGTTAACATAAAACTGACTTTGTCCCTATTAATCTTTTAAAATCTTGTGAAATTTAAAATATGACGAGTTCTTACTTGCGATTTATCATTGCATTCAAATTTTTTAGATTTGTTTATATAGGTGCCTCAAAAAAAATTAATGAATGTGTCAATTTATTTTATTGATTAAGTCAGTATTTGATAAGATAAGACGGATTTTGGCAGGTCAGCTGCATGAAATATCAAATAAATTTTATAGCAAATAGTGTAACAAAAAAAATTGCGATTAGCCTTTTTTTACTTTTTTTGCATCCTAGATTGTATTATTAGTTTCCACTTCCACTCGACAGAAGAGCATAATTAGCCCCGCCCACCCACCCTGCCTCTTTTTCGGCGATTGATTTTATCCGCCAAGATAAGATTGATTTTGCCAAATTGCATACCTTCTAAGAAAACAAAGGGGGGGTGGGTGGGGTTAGTATCTACTTGTCAAGATAAGGCTGATTTTGGCAGATGAAGTACTCTCTAAGAAAATAGAGGGTGGGTGGGCGGGGCTAATATTTGATAAGATAAGATGGATTTTGGCTCTCAAGTAGATGAAATAAGAAATAAATTTTATAGCAAATAGTGTAACAAAAAAAATGCGATTAGCTCGACAGAAGAACATAATTAGCCCCACCCACCCACGCTGCCTCCTTTTCAGTGACTGATTTTATCCGCCAAGATAAGATTAATTTTGCCAAATTGCATACTTTCTAAGAAAACAAAGGGCGGGTGGGCGGGGTTAGTGTCTACTTGCCAAGATAAGAGTGATTTTGGCAGATGACGTACTCTCTAAGAAAATAGAGGGTGGGTGGGCGGGGCTAATATTTGATAAGACAAGATGGATTTTGGCAGGTCAGGTGCATGAAATAAGAAATAAATTTTGTAGCAAATAGTGTAACAAAAAAAAATTGTGATTAGCTCGACAGAAGAAGATAATTAGCCCCGCCCACCCACCCTGTCTCCTTCTCAGTGATTGATTTTATCCGACAAAATAAGATTGATTTTGCCAAATTGCATACCTTCTAAGAAAACCAAGGGCGGGTGGGTGGGGCTAGTATCTACTTGCCAAGATAAGGCTGATTTTGGCAGATGACGTACTCTCTAAGAAAATAGAGGGTGGGTGGGAGGGGCTAATATTTGATAAGATAAGATGGATTTTGGCTGTCAAGTGGATGAAATAAGAAATAAATTTTATAGCAAATAGTGTAACAAAAAAAAAATGCGATTAGCTCGACAGAAGAACGTAATTAGCCCCGCCCACCCACCCTGCCTCCTTTTCAGTGATTAATTTTATCCGCTAAGATAAGATTGATTTTGCCAAATTGCATATCTTCTAAGAAAACAAAGGGCGGGTGGCCGGGGTAGTTTCTACTTGTCAAAATAAGACTGATTTTAGCAAATGACGTACTATTCTAAGAAAATAGAGGGTGGGTGGGCGGGGCTAGTATTTGATAAGATAAGATGGATTTTGGCAGGTCAGGTGCATGAAATAAGAAATCAATTTTATAGCAAATAGTGTAACAAAAAAAAATTGTGATTAGCTCGACAGAAGAAGATAATTAGCCCCGCCCACCCACCCTGCCTCCTTTTCAGTGATTGATTTTATCCGCCAAGATAAGACTGATTTTGCCAGAGAGCATACCTTCTAAGAAAACAAAGGGCGGTTGGGCGGGGTAGTTTCTACTTGTCAAGATAAGACTGATTATGGCAAATGACGTACTCTCAAAGAAAATATAAGGTGGTTTATTTTCTTAGAGGATATGTCATTTGGCAAAATTAGTCTTATCTTGGCAAGTATTAGCCCCGCCCACGCGCCCTTTATTTTTTAATAATTCACAAAGAGTGAATAATCTTTCATTATCAATCTTTGGAACACATGTATATATAAAAAAATATATAAATTCGACTGAAACAAACACGAAAATTGTAGGTATACCTACCAAATAGTGCTTGATTTCGGAAAAATCTATAACACAAGAAAATTTAGCCCATGAAAATTTGAATAAATAAAACAGAGAAATATAAAACAATAGAAGATTTAGAACTGTAAGCATTGATAGCCTAAAAGAAAATAAACAAAACTCGGATGAAAAACGGAAAAGTAATAAAAAAATTGATCCAAGGTAAATTAGCTAGAACTTCCCTTGCCCCTAAAGTACAATATATCCCGTTTTTACGAAAAATTATATAATTTGAGTTTGCGAATTTTATTTTTTGTAGATAATCCATGTATTCCCAGAAAATTTTGGGAATACAATACTTTATTTTTAGTATTACACTGCACTAATCCAAGTTGATATACTTGTCCTTGCAAAAATGTTGATGACGTCATCACAAAATTCTGTAAAGTTAAAACTCGACTCAAAAATGCTGTATATATTCAGTGTACTTTGGGTGCGAGGGAAGTTCTGTCGAAACAACTTTCGACCAATTTTTTTATTTACTTCATTTTTTCATTTTTAATCTCCTGGAATTTTAAACATTAAAGAGTTATTCTCATGTTCTACAGAACATTCCTTGCCCCTAAGAAAAAAATTAGTCCATGAGGGGATCGAACTCGCGACCTTCGCATCATTGGTTAGTGAACGCTGTTAGTTCTCCATTTAGATTAGTATAAAATGTATGTTATTCAAATTTGATTATTTTTTCTGAATCTCTGGTATTCTAGGGTTACAAATTAAGGCGAATTCATAAACTACAACTACAGGAGTATTTTAGTGTTTTACCCTATTACAATATGTAATTTCTTGGCTTAGCCTCGGGAAGTTAAAATAAAAAAAAAAATGGAGTTGCTTGGCACCGTTGGATTGAAATTTGAAAAATGAGATGTACCTAGTTGTAAAATCCAAGCAGTTTTTGAAAAAAAATCGGGTATTCAAGCCCATGTTGATTTTAAAGGATTATTATAAAATGTGTGTTACCCAATTTTGATTATTTTTCGCCAAATGCTAAATGGCTAGGGTAAAAAATCAAGGCGAATTCATAAACTACAAGTACAGGAGGATGTTATGTTATAACATTTAAACACAATTTACTATGCAAAATGTTGAGATGACGTCATCAAATTGTTGGTGAGGATGATCAGATAAATTTTAGTGTTTTACTATCCAAGTCTACATGATATTCTTACAAGAATGGTAAAATTTGACAAACGGAAGACCTATTTTGCATACTCTTGGCGTTATGAAAGGTCGAGAAAACGTGAAAGTAGCCAGTCGCTCAATGAACCCTACTTCAATACTTCTTTTATACTTTTAAATCATTACTCAGGAAACATAAAAAACAAAACAATTTATTTATTTTTTTTACAACCGCACATCCACAAAAATTTACCATGCTTGTTATGTCGTTTTGTCATGAACAGTGGACGATTCTTTATTAAATAGTCAACTGAATTCATTAATTTTATTTAAAATCAAACAATTTCACCCGCGCAG